TTTGAGAGCCCTGAACTGCGTGCCATGATGCCCTCGGCTTCGCCTCGGGCATATGGCGCGCAGTGCAGGAATCTCAAACTTTCTGCCCTTGTAGTGTAATATACTATTTCATTAAATTTTGAGGGTACCCCATTTTGCCCCTTCCCTCCCTGACGTATTTATCTAGTTTTAGAGGCGGGTAAAATTGGATCATTGAATTCTTTAAAAAGTGCTCTAACTCCTGCAGCACTAAAATATTTAAGTGTCGCTAATTTAAATATGATTAAGCAACTAGATAATAATTCGATGAAACAGATAGAGCTAATGTCAGAGTCATATTATCGGATGGATAAACAAGTGTAAATTAATCGCAAGGGTGCACTTGAAAAGGGTTGGTGGACAAATATTTATGAATCTCTGTCAGTAAGCTACGTGTAGGGTGTGAAAACATGAAATCCCGCATGACAAAACGATCAACCTGCTACCCTAACCCTGTATTACGCTAACGGTATAGTATATGCCCGTAGTTGAAATATTCCCCTTATTTTTACGACATATGCCATACTTTTTTTATTCACTCACTCACTCATTCAGTCTCTCAAAATGTATTTTAATATTATAATCCGACTCTTCTGCCTTGGATTACTGAGAACGCCTTTTTTTTTATTATCACTTTATACTCACGGAATACTGAATAGTCTATTTATATTGTCCTACATGTAATGTATACATTGTCTGAAAAATTCAAGGGACCAATCATTCTAGATTTCATCAATTTTTATATAAATGATTCCTACTATTTTGATGGATTATTTTGTATCATAATATAAGTAAGCTTCGCTTTTTTTAACCGCTGGGGAGTTGAAATTTTTTGCCCCCGAGAAAATTACGATGATAGTAATTCTATTTAGATTTTTATCATTTATCATTTTTTTATTTGAAGCTAGGCTCAAAATTTTTATAATTTTTGCTTTTTACTCTAAAAACTAAAAATTTTTCAAAATTGCGAGAAGTTTCAAGGATGAAATGTAGGGTCAATGATTAATTCATAAAAGAACTTCAATCAGCTAAAATTTCAAAAGTTATTACAATTTTTTTTAATTAATTATTATCATAAAAACTATAAATTATTCAAAAAGCAATTCGATCAAAATATAAATGAATTTTCAACAATACCAGAAAAAAATTAGATGACCATTATATTTAACATAAAAAATTACATACGTGTTACGTTCATATTTATAAGATGAAATTTTTATTTTATGATTTATTGATATTTTAAAATGAAAGAAAATTGAAAAATACGAAAATATGTATAAATTTATATTTTAAAACAGCGCCATCTTATTTCCTAATTCGCGGGAACGAGCGCAATAAACTGGAATCAAGAGGGTTGGACGCGCGAATGATACTCTGAAATTCCCCCAGGTACCTTTTAGCCTCCACTCTCCAGAAAGATTTCAGTGTCTGTGTAATGCTACTGATGCTCGAGAATAAGACGAAAACAAAGATAGAAAGTATAAAGATAAAAAAATATCAATAGGAAAAAAAAAAAAATTTTAGCACATGAGAGCAAGCTGAAGAAAATAAAAGTAAAGAGACGAAAATTTCATTAAAATCGGCCGGGAGGGAAAACAAATGGCCTCAATCATTCCGCTAGCGCAAAAGTCACCCTCGGCAGTCCTGTAACTTTAATATTTAAAATGTGATTTGTACCAAGCCACCGACGCCGAAGAGACCTGCTCAAAGAGAAACGATAAAAAACTCTTTCATAGGCCAATTGATTTTTCTTTTCTGAAAACTATGGGATTTATTGACAAGTGAAATATTGTTGTTATTGAAGAACTAACACGATATATAGACTGCATATATATATTCTTGATTCAATAAATATGTCTCGATTTATTTTCAGAGTAAAATGTAAAAAATAACAAAATAAGAATCGAAAATTTATTACATAAGTTATCACTTTTCTTCATGATAAATTAATTTATTTATAAAAATTTTTGCAAATTCGGTATTTTCTACTACTTACCCAAAAATATACAATTAGTAGTTCATGGTATATACCTTATATCATCAGATAAATTGCAGCTTATGGAATGATGGAATAAGAAATATTCGACTTACCGACAGTTTGAAATACTCTTGTCGATATGATAGAATTTGGTTATTTTTCTGGTGTATTATTTTTCCCTATTGCCGTCAAAGAATAAGTTAGAGAGTGTAGGGTTGCAGTTTAGTTGTTGGTAAGTTGCTCTTTAACTTGAGTGCAACTTATTGACAGCAAAATTTAGTCGACAGCTACCCCAATAACCAAAGTTGCAATCTACTGATTGTTGTCAATAGGAAGTCAAGTTGACTACAGATCCAGACTTTTCAAATGTTGCTGTTAGATTGACGCCAATCTGCTAACGCAATTTGGTATCAATATGCGGCACAGATTGGTGGCAAACTGACTGCAAAAGTTAGAAAGCCAGAATTTGCTGTCAGTCTGCATCCAAATAGCCATTAATGGTTGGCATTACGACTTAGCCTGAGTAACCCATTTTTCATTGACATACCAGAAAATACTACAGTTTTTGCCAATCTGCATGTAGTTTACAAGCAAATGAAGTGCAAATATTGCCTGCCAACTTTTGCAGCCATTGTGCCACCAATCTGCTCCGCAGATTGTCACCAAACTGCGTTGAAAGATAAATGTCAGTTAGCTACTAAGTTATTGGGGTATTTTTGTTGTTACCCGAATAACTGTTGTAGGGAGTTAACTTCAAATTGCAGTCGCTCATTTCGTTTGAACTTGTGCATACAACATTTTATCTAGCAACGCTTGTCGTAAAGCTAACGTCAAATTTACTGCAAACTACTGCTGGCTACTTTGTCCCTGAAAAACTCACCCTAATAGGTATGCTAACTAAAACTTGCCGTCGATCTGCGTCCAAAATCGGCAACGAAATTAATGAAAAGGGTTGAAAAAGCAAGAGTTTCTGTAAAGTTGATAGTAAGTTACCCTGCAATTTTCAGTCAAGACTTAACGTGCAAATTCTTTCAGTAAAATTGTAGTAGAAAGGTTGACTAAAAGCTTGATGTCAACTTGGATTCCAATTCCGGCCGGAGATTATCATCAAATTAGATACATTTTTGATTTGGTTGTATATTAATACGTAAGCTTGGCATCAAATTGACTTCAAAACACTAATGATAATCAACTTGTTGTTTGGTGTAGGGCAACACTGTTTTTTGGTCCGGAATTTAACATCTAACTGTTGAATTAAGCCAACTAGAAGAAAATACAAACGAAGTGTAACCAACTGCCAGAAAATTATAAATCACTAGAAACGATGTCAATTGACGTGCAATGATATATATACATCATATATGAACCAAGATGATGGTTCACTGGTAAAATTTAGCCTGCGCTATTATTGCTTGCTTTCGTACTCGCTAGTGGTGCTTTTATCATGAACTATCATGTACTTGCTTTACTAGTGGTTACTTTTGTTTACTTAGCTGGATCATTGGATCATTGAGGATTTCTAAAAAACTCTACGGTCAGAAGCTTTAGCATTTTTCAGGATTTTTCTTAGCACATTCCAACCGACATCAATTTTTTTAAAATGATCGTAAGATATTATCGTAATATCTTCAATATAAAAAAAAAAAAAACAATAAAAATTTTTGGTTTTCTCAGTCTTTTCTTATACCGCCTGTAATAAAAAGTAATTTTTAATTACAATTATCTGATATCTGGTACTATCAATTGACTTCAATGTTCAAAAACGTATGTATTATGTATTAATGAATATATATTTTATTACGTATTCTCCAAATCTCAAAAACTTACCCAATTATTGTAATTATGAGTAAAGTACTTCAATTAACTTGAATATTTTCGCATTTTTTTAAGTATAATCCAATTGGCAGCAGAAGAAAAAAACCATGGGGCGCAAATTGAAACTTATATGATTTTCTTAGTATGAAAAATTTGGTGGCCCTGATAAGGGCCGTTTTGTTATAAATTTGATGGTAGAGTGCGATATTTAACCTCCGAAACCGTAGAGAGTACGGCCCTGACGTTTCAATGCGTAGACTACATCCATGGCTGTGACAGTCTTACGTTTAGCGTGCTCTGTGTAAGTGACAGCGTCACGGATGACGTTTTCAAGGAAAACTTTGAGCACACCACGGGTCTCTTCGTAGATCAATCCAGAGATACGTTTGACTCCACCACGACGGGCCAGACGACGAATGGCTGGCTTAGTGATACCTTGGATGTTATCACGAAGAACTTTACGATGGCGCTTGGCTCCTCCTTTTCCCAATCCTTTTCCTCCCTTACCACGGCCAGTCATGTTGATATCAGTAGAATTAAACTTCTGATCGACTCAAGAGGTAAACTTGGTATATTCGAAAAACTGTAAGTCAAGGCTATTTTAAGCACATCTCCAACGTTTCCCCCACCATCGAGTTCGAGTACAGCCAATCAGCACAATTCAGATACTTTTTTCCCCTACCTAGAAAAACACCTGGAACACCTGGCCCGAGTGTTAACAAAAAGGCGAGCTCTTTGAGCGAACATCATATTTTCAATCTAAGTTTAGATCATTGAAGTCAGGTTACTCTCGCTAAGTCGTCATGGCCCGAACTAAGCAAACCGCTCGTAAGTCTACTGGAGGTAAAGCTCCACGTAAGCAACTTGCTACCAAGGCTGCTCGTAAAAGTGCTCCAGCTACTGGAGGTGTCAAAAAGCCTCACCGTTACCGTCCAGGAACCGTTGCTCTTCGTGAGATCCGTCGTTACCAGAAGAGTACGGAGTTGTTGATCCGTAAATTGCCCTTCCAACGTCTCGTCCGTGAAATCGCCCAGGACTTCAAGACTGATCTGCGATTCCAGAGCTCCGCTGTGATGGCCCTTCAGGAAGCCAGCGAGGCCTACCTCGTCGGTCTGTTTGAAGACACCAACCTCTGTGCCATTCACGCCAAGCGTGTTACCATCATGCCCAAAGACATCCAGTTGGCTCGTCGTATCCGAGGAGAACGTGCCTAGGTTATCATTTTTAATCCAACATTTGAAAAAACGGCCCTTTTCAGGGCCACCAAATTTTTCATACTGAGAAAATCATTCAATTTTACTAATTGTCCATGTTGATAATTGTTTAATTACCTAGAAAATCTAAGATCAATGAAAAATAAGAAAATAGAATATCGATGTCAATCTTTTGTTATCTATTCTCGTCCTTTGTTAAGAAAGAATCTTACTGATTCATATTGTATGTATCTCCTCTTCAAACTAATGATTTTATCTAAAATCCCATTATAGCATGACTAATATTATTTCATTGGTTAAAGATACCTTAGGGTCTCATAAATTATTCTTCACCATGAACAATTATACAGTTTATTGTTAATGATATTTTAATTGTTCGAACTGAAGATCTTTTCTGATAAACGAACAAAAGAAGATGACATGAATTTTCAGAAGGAATATGCAGATGTTTTAGAATACAATGAATTTGTCATTACTATAACACATTAAAAAGAAATTTTTTCAATGACAAGAAAAATATACAATTTTCGTTGAACATAGTATGACCAAGTTGACTGCATTACCATTTATCACAGTATTATCATATTTAATTCAAATAAATTAACATACAACTTACGAAATATTTTTCAGTCAACTGTTATCCACACATGCCAAATATCAGATATATGTCATCTAATAATATATTGTTTTCATATAAAACTACATGAGAGGTTCATAATTCCAACCTTATCATTAACTAACCTTCAAGATATGAATTTACAGTAAAATCAATCTCTCTTTCTATCTCTCTGACTGTGTTATATCTCAAAATTTGTTTATCATAGCCAAGGAATGTACGACACTGGACGTTCCCTTGCTATACTTTAAAATGGAAAATGGTGAGAAGCCTAAGATAAAGATAGCAGAGTTAACGATCATAATGTAATTTTAGCAAATACCAAAGATCATAATTATTCGTTGTAAGTTAATGATATTATACTCTCTCAATAAAGATGAAATAGTGCTGGTAACTATATTAATCAATTTTCAAGATAGATGATAATTTGATTAAACAAATAATTAGGCTGGATAAAAAAAATTTAATTAAACTAGAAAACTCTTCACGTATTGAAAAATTTGGTGGCCCTGAAAAGGGCCGTTTTATTTTATATGGGAAAGCAGATATAATTTAAGAGCTGCTTTTCTCGGTCTTTTTGGGTAAAAGAACAGCCTGGATATTAGGCAAGACACCTCCTTGAGCGATGGTGACTCCAGAGAGAAGTTTGTTTAACTCTTCGTCGTTACGGATGGCTAACTGAAGATGACGGGGAATAATTCTGGTCTTCTTGTTGTCACGAGCAGCGTTTCCAGCCAACTCCAAAACTTCAGCCGCCAAGTATTCCATGACGGCAGCGAGGTAAACTGGAGCACCAGCACCAACACGTTCAGCGTAATTTCCTTTACGCAACATACGATGGATACGACCTACCGGAAATTGGAGACCAGCACGGCTTGAGCGGGTCTTTGACTTTCCCTTTACTTTACCTCCTTTACCACGACCAGACATGATGAAAAGATTATAGAATTACAAACTTAACTATTGACTTGAACGGATAAGTCCTGACTATGCAGTTCGCACTCCAAACCTTAAGTTTTATAAGGCTTGTGTGAGGAGCATGCGGCAGATGTTCTGGCAGCTGAACGTTGGAGGGGGTAGAGCATACCTTGGGTTAGTCAGCTAGTATTGAAGAGGGTTACTATTGTTATTATGTTACCGTGACAAGCCGGTTTACTTGGTGTTCATCCCCACTCTTTGTGACTATCCTTCACCGATGCTCAAACTTCCTATTTTTCTCTTTTAAAACCGAAAGCAAAGTTGGGCTGACCATCATTCGTCTACTGTCCTTCCGTACGTACTTACATACTCAACTCAGTATTCATCATGCCGCCCAAGACTAGTGGTAAAGCTGTAAAGAAATCTGGCAAAGCCCAGAAGAACATCACCAAGTCTGACAAGAAGGGCCGCAAGAAGAAGAGGAAGGAAAGTTACGCTATCTACATTTACAAGGTGCTAAAACAGGTCCACCCTGACACCGGTGTTTCCTCCAAGGCCATGAGCATCATGAACAGCTTTGTCAACGATATCTTCGAACGTATTGCTGCTGAAGCTTCCAGACTCGCTCACTACAACAAGCGTTCCACCATCACTTCACGGGAAATTCAAACAGCTGTCCGTCTTCTGTTACCCGGTGAATTGGCCAAACACGCCGTCAGTGAAGGAACCAAAGCCGTCACTAAGTACACCAGCTCTAAGTAAATTTCCTCTCTCTGACTAAAACCAAAACAAACGGCCCTTTTCAGGGCCACCAAATTTTTCAATACGTAATATATTATCAAGTTCAATTAATTATATTTCTCATACTCACAAAAGCCTAAAACATATTCCTAGTCATTTCATGATTTCAAACATGAATATTACAATTGAAAAATTGTGAAAATCAATCAACCTTCGTCATTAGACAAGAATATTTTAACCTTCATCATGAAAACAGTTTAATTTACAGTATCAAAAACTTTACTAATCAACGTGCAAGTAGTTATTTACGTTATTAGTAACATTAAGACAATCTATACATATGATAAATTTCCAGAAAACAGTCTGAAGAGAAATGAAAGAAGTAATAAGGGTATCGAAATTTGAGGCATAGTGAAAGTATCTGAAGCTCATGAACCTCACATCAATGATCAGTTTGACATACTCAAACGCTTTATTTTGAACTTGCATGATTAATAATAACAGAATTCATCACATCATTAGAAAATAGTATAAAAAAAATTGAGGAAGGAGAGTTAAGTAGTGAGGTATCCCTGGTTCTGAGCAGCTCAAATGGGGAGAATAAATGCTAAAGATTCTACTACAGCAGGCTGAAATTGAGGAGGAGATAAAGAAAATAGAATCACACGTAAAACACAAGCAGCTAAGATTCAAGAAGTAAAATAAAATAATCTCTTAAAATGATTGAATAAGTGAATGAAATATCTATCTACATGCCCGTGAGTATGTTCACTTGTTGAATCAGTGAAATTCTACTAATTCATTTTAAGAGAGTAGGAATCAGAGAACTGATAGAAAATCATTTAAAAAACTACGGAAGAATTTTTGGAGGATAAATTTGGAGTAAAGATTGACTAAAAACGCGTTCAACTACAGTTACCGTCCTAGAACCGTCTCTGGTTAAATAAGAGAATTAAAGATGATTAAAAATTAATTGCATCCTTATTAATTCCCCGCAGAGAATTGAATAGGACTAAAAAGAATTCAGCATGTACCTGAAGTTCCGATCGTTTTTTTATGAACGAAAATAAAAAAAAAATTTTTTTGCTTTTGAAACTGAAAATGGTTTTTCGGCTCAAAACAAAAACAAATAGCCCTAAAAATGATATATCGACTCCTCCAGAAACCGAAACTACCCTTACAGCCACCCCGAAGACTTAAGAGTTTTTTTCAAAAATTCTAAAAAAATCCTTGCGAGGGTCCTTGGAAGCTGCCGATTTTATATACTACTCCTAGTACTCCCCCACATAATATAAAAAATCATCAAGCTGCTAACACCCCCGGAACTACCCCTCCAGCCACCCCAAAGACTCATAAATTGAAAAAAAATGTAGAAAAAATCCTTGCGAGGGTCCTTGGAAGCTGCCGATTTTTTAGACTACTCCTAGTACCCCCCCACAAAATATAAAAAATCATCAGGCCGCTAACACCCCCGGAACTACCACTCCAGCAACCCCAAAGACTTAGAGGTTTTTTTTTAAAAATTCTGATAAAATCCTTCCAAGGGTCCTTGGAGGCTGTCGATTTTTTAGCGTACTCCTAGTACCCCCCCACGAAATATAAAAGTCTTTGGGATGGCTGGAGTGGTAGTTCCGGGGGTGTTAGCGGCCTGATGATTTTTTATATTTTGTGGGGGGGTACTAGGAGTAGTCTAAAAAATCGGCAGCTTCCAAGAACCCTCGCAAGGATTTTTTCTACATTTTTTTTTAATTTATGAGTCTTTGGGGTGGCTAGAGGGGTAGTTCCGGGGGTATTAGCAGCTTGATGATTTTTTATATTATGTGGGGGAGTACTAGGAGTAGTATAAAAAATCGGCAGCTTCCAAGGACCCTCGCAAGGATTTTTTTAGAATTTTTGAAAAAAACTTTTAAGTCTTCGGGGTGGCTGTAAGGGTAGTTTCGGTTTTTAGAGGAATCGATATATCATTTTTAGGGCTATTTGTTTTTATTTTGAGCCAAAAAACCATTTTCAGTTTCAAAAGCAAAAAAATTTTTTTTTTATTTTCATTTATAAAAAAACGATCGGAACTTCAGGTACATAGTTCAGCATTATAAGCTTTGTATTCTATTCAATTCTTCTTTAAGAATTGAGAGTATTAAAAAGGATTCGATTTACTTAATTGCTATGCTGGTGTTATGTAAAGATTTTTTTTCTTTAAACATTTAATCAATTATAAAAATTGACAACAATTTCCTTTTATTTTTAACGATAGTAAAATTTGTTCGCGTGTGAACATTTTAAGTCTCTCGTTCGGCTCGTTGTAAAAGGCCCGAGGAAATTCTCGCAGTTAGTCTGGAGCCAGATACATTAAAGGGATTAGAATCCAAATAGATAGATAAATGGGAGTTTTGTTACATGTAAGTAAACTCACTTATACTTAAAATAAGAAATAACTAAGTAATGACAAAGAACATTAACGAAAAGGATTTACCTCGAACAGAAAGATTTTAGAGTAACAATATCCAGATAAATTTTTAATAATGTTCACTTAAATAATTTCAGATAATATATAATAAAATGAATATAAAAAAATTAGGAAAACGGTTGACCATAAAGGTCATCATTGTTGAAAAAAAATTTTTGAAATGAAACTTCTTTACGAAGACTAAATCTGAACGTTTTGTGGTCTAATAGGGGTATCACAGGAGAGGGGAAACGTTGAATGAAAGTACAGAATGCAGGAGAAGGGGAAATGCTCGCATAGCAAGTCTAACATATCCTAAAGAGTGGGGAGGGTTGAGAATTGCCGAATAGAATGGAAGAGTATACTAGATAGATAAAGTATACTGTGCTCGTGAGAACGCATAGCATGTCTGCGTGAAACACAGTCCCTTTTTAACATAGGGTATAGTATGTGTATATATGTATTCTCAACAGTGATTATCGCCTACATGTATATTGTTTGGCGCATGCGTCGAAATTTAAGTACATTATTTAGAAAGATATTTTGTTATATCAGCTGTAGCTAACTGTTTTCATATAAAAAATTTTGACATATATCATGCAGTGATACATTATGTGTTAATTCAAATATAATACTCTTATTATAAATATTGTCATAAAAATAATATTCTTATTAATAAATTCATGTATACATTAATTAATAAAAGTGTAATTGGGTTTTATTTCTTAAATACCGGGTAATTGATAAAATAATTTTCTTTTGTTTTTCAAATCATGAGATGCTATATTATACATACGTAATATGTATGTATGCTATAGTATATTATACAAATAATATCCATAGAAAAAATTAATTAACGAGGGATAAAAAAAGTTTATAATTAAATTAAAAGGTAATTAAGGCCGAATAGATATTTTTTTGGACGAACACATAAGAGATAGTTTCAAAGAATAAAAAAAAAAAAAAAAAATTGAAAAAATCTATAGTTGGCGCTAACTTGAGATTTATAATTTTTGAAAATTAAAAAAAAAAAATAAAAACGAACAAAAAAAATTTTTGATCGAACATTGAAGAACAGTTGAAGAACAATTGAATTAGCCAAAAAAATTAATAAAAAATTAATTACTCCCCGCCAAGTTAAGAGAGCCTAGACCAACTTAACGATTAAAAAAGTTTCACTTCTATTGTGACCTTATGTCTGTGAGGCTCACTCGTTTTTTTTTTTTTTTTTTTTTTTAACGTTATAGAATATTAAATATGATAGTTAAAAAAAAAAAAATTAAGTATCATTTTCATTCATTAACAGATTTTTGGACTCTTATTCTAATTAATTACAAAAAAAAAAATATTTATTTGTGTAATGGGCGTAAAAAAAAAAAGAATTAACGAATTTTTCAATTTTAAAAATTTATTTTTGTTAATTTTTATTTAATATAAATTGTTTGTTTTTTATTTCGTCAAATTACTAGAAAATAATTTGTTTTGAATTAACAAAAAAATAATTTTTGGTATTATTTTATTATTATTATTTAATTCAGTAGACAAAGTTATACACTAATAATTTGAAATAGAAAAAAATGTTCATTTTTAAATTTATTGATTTTGTCTATTTTTCCATAAAAGCAGGAAGATGGCGCTAGGGTAGAAAATTCTCGCAAGTGGTTGTTCATAGAGTAGTTTCAATATATAACATTTTGCATCATGGTACACCGGGCACCTCCAGCGAGTCATGTTGGAAGCCTAAAGGTTCGTCGTAATGTGACATTCCAACCACGCAGTCTTCCGCAACTTAGCTCCCCGGAGCAGATATTGAAGGGACACAGTCCTAAACTAGTGCGCCAGCACAAAACTGAGGAAAGGCCCTGGTGCCAATCTCGTGAAAAGGAGTTCTGCGTGGAAGGTTAGGCAATGCAGGAGTGGTCACTTGCGGCGAAGAGGTGGTCTTCTTCCGGGGAAGAGTAATGCAACTTCCGTACCGGTTGAGGAGTAGGCGAAATTAAGCTGCTGAATAAAATGAGATTTAATGACTTACGTCAGAAAATTGTGAATTGATAAAGTAGCCTATCGAGCAATCGCTACCTCGTTCCCCTTCGGGGGAATCCTTTTGTTAAATTTTTTATAATAATTATTGTTCTTGTTAATTAATAAAGGAATTTTTTTTTTATTTATTGACTTGAAGAAAAATTTTTTTTAGGTATTTTCAATTTATTGTTTATTTTTTATTTATTAACTTGAAATAAAAAAATGAGGAAAACTGTTGACCTTAAAGGCGATCCCTGCAACTTCTCGCTAATTCTATCCTTAAGTGCTCAAAATTGTAGCTGCTGAGCTTTTTGAGCTCAAAAATATAATTTTCGTGTCATATTGAGCTCTCCGAGCTCAAAAGTCTGATAGGTGTTCAATAAAACACTATTTTTTAAATGTACAAACCGCAATAACTTTTGAATGAATGAACCGATTTTTACGTGGTTAGCGGCATTCGACGCAGTTTTCGAAGCCTCATTAAGAATCTTTAAGTTTGAATTGATCGAACTAGGAATTTCGGAGTAATTCCGAAAAAAAAACTTCATCAGAACCTTCGAGATCTGATGAGAATTCGATTTTTGCAAAACGGGGTAAAACTAATAACTTTTCGATTTTCTTAGCGGGAAGTTAAAAAAATAAAGTAAAACAAAAATTCAAAACAATAAAAAATGAAATACTAAGAATGATCAGTCTTCAAGACAGCCACATTCCGAATCAAACAAATTAGACAACTGTTAGAAATTAATGAAGTAAGGTAAAATACCCAGTAGCTGCTCAGGAACCAGTACTTGCCCACTCTGTGTATTTGTATATCTATATTCACAAATTCAGATACTGGGTACTGCACAGTAAAAAATTTTTCGTCATTGTGTAAAGTGTAAAAATGTTTGTGTAGAATTTAACATTTTAGTATGTTGATTCAACACAATAGAGTGTTGATTCAACACAAATTGTGTAAAAAAAGTCATCAACACAAATTTTTGTGTTAAATTTGACGAAAAATTTTTTACTCTGTGGGTACTTTACCTTATATCAAGATATTTATAACTTTACTGAAATCTTTTACACGCGTACTAACGCCCTAAATATCTTGAGTAACATCGGGATGTATAATGAAAACTATTCAAAATAAGATACAAGCTACCGCATAGCTTATTAGTTATTACTATAAGACTGTACAATACTCGCCTTTGGCTCGGGAGGCAATTTTACACGCGGATTGGAATGTTCTACTCTTCTCCCGAGGTACATAAATTACTATTTTTGCTGACTTCTATTGTCATAAGGTTTTAAAATATCTTTTAAGAAATTTCTACTTTCACAGAATTCTGAACTATGTTGAGTTATATTTACTAAAATAACTTGGATAGTACATCAAAAACTGTATACCATATTGCTTCCTATCATCTTTAAAGATACTTTAATTAAATACGTAACAGTGCAAATATCCTTTATCTATCTTACATAATCAAGTGAAACAAAACAAAAAAGAAATGAAGAAGAAGTTTAGTAGTATCTTTACTGTTATCAGCATCATCATCATCATCGATTAAGACTTTTTAATATGTCAGTACCTAATACTCTTCAACTCTGGATTTATTATTTACGACCATGCAAATGTGTTAGACAAAACCATAAATCAATTCAATGATAAAAATACTTCCGAGAACCAAAGATACAATCGATAATAAGCGGTATGTTGCAGATCCTCCTACCGAGGTTAAAAGCTGGTCGAATTCCAGGACTATATAAACCTGAAAATTATCTTTATAACAGGTATTATTATTTGCATTCTGTTACGTGTTCGTCAATATCAGTTGACATTGTTCCTCAAAACAGAGCAGATATCTGAGTTGAGTATTTTGCTACATATGGGGAAATTTTATTTATATTTTAGAAGTAATCAACCTTTAGAAGTATTGACAGGTGACTATGATGATAATAAATCATTATTCTCGTTTTGACACTTTATTCACTTTATGACAGAAATCAATTCATACATAGGTTTATTTTCAAAAAGCAATAGCTACAACAGAAAAATCAGCCCGGAAGACTGCATCAATTACAGATAATATCGAAATTTCGGAAAAAAGTTAAGAAAAATGTATATGAACAAATTTATTTGGTGGCTTATGGCTGTGTACTCGTTCGATAAAATTTCAGCTTTTGATAACATATTATACAAACGTTCTCCGATACCTCATAGTCAAATAGTAAGTCAGACTTGAATTAATTTCAAATATACAATTTAGTTATTGACTAGTAAATTTTTTTTAAAAAACAAAAATTTTTAAAATCACAATCAAACTATTGTTCAATTACTTTAAAAGTATTTCATTTTATTCAACTTTACTGTAATTAATGATATTTTATTTATTTATAAAAAACTTATTTATAATTATTTTTTTCTTTAATAGGGACAACTCCTTAAATTATGTTATTCTGAACGGCTGAACCCAGTTGTGATTACCACTAATTTGATTGATTTAGTTGATGAACTTCGAGCGGATGATATCATCTTCCCAGTGATGACCATCGATCTCGATTTTAAGGCTAAAGACATACAAACATTCATACCTGCATACCCACTGTACATTGTTTCAACAGATTCAACTGATCAACTGCTAGGACTCCTCAATCAATTAAAGTCGACACCAACGTGGAACATTTCATCCATATTCATCTTCATTGAATTTGTAGAGAACGATTATCAAAACGCATCGCAAGTGCTACAATTACTTTGGAAATTTGAGCTGTTATCTTCATTCTACTTTTGCATTGACCAAGACAACAACATAATGATTTACACTTATAACCCATACACCAACAGAGCCCCTGATTCATGGACAGAAGTCGACATGAATGATCCAAACAATCGGGGGACTTTATACAAGCGATTGTACACACCGCATGGTAAGACTAATTATTCCATTCTTATTATATTTTGGAAGATTTGAATGTAGATTATCTAAAGAGTAAATTTAATTCGGAAAAATTAAAAAAAAAACATAGTATTATTAAAGAATAAAATAATACCCCAGAGGTAGATATGCAAGCATGAAATAATAGTCCTAATATTCTATGCTTGTAAAGATCAACCATCTTACTCTGCCGCCTATCTTATGGCTTTACATAAATAAATAATATTAGTATTATTATTATTATCGAATAGATTAAAATGGTTTTTATGCTTTGATCGTGATGATTATTCAATTATATTAATTATACTAAAAAACAATAAATAATTTTCAGACAAAGAAATATGTAAAAGTCTAAACTACGATAAAACAAAAGCTCTGGATGGTTATGAAGTGAAAGCTGCTGGAGATACAAAATCTTGGGAAAATTTAACTCTTAATGAAGCATACGATGTCTCTAGTTTTGAAAAGTCATTAGCTTACACAGATAAAATGATTATGGTAAGCTTATTTTCAGCATTAAATGCTACGCCAAAAATCAACTACGATCACACAGGTATCTATGCGAATAATAATGTGAGAGGATATCTCAAATTAATTGTAAACGGTTCCCATGATATCGGGGTCTCTTCGCGAAATAGAGCAAGAGCTATAGGAGTTGTTGATAGAGTTAATCTTCACTATCAGAATGGTTTCTTAATATTGACGCAATACAGGCCATTTGAGATACCTGCCGAAGAGGTTACTGATTTTGACGATATCCGACCCGCTGTTGCACTCTTTGCAGGAGTACTAGTAGTTACTTTTATAACAATTGCACTAAACACGGATTACGATTACGCTCAAGCGACTCTAGATATAGCACGAATGATAGTAGGTGCTGGAATATTTACGCCACTCGAACGATTATCAACACGGATTTGTTTCGTAGTTTCATTTTTAATAATTTTCTTCATGAATCCGGCAATTCAAGGCCAGATATCCTCGTTCTTATCGACTCCAAACCAGCGCAATGTTGATAATTTCAATGACGTGCATGATCACAAATATGACTTATACTTTCCTCCTTTCTACAAGCCTTACATTCTTGATCTAAATTTGTGGCTAAATTCGTCTGACAAAAAATTCTTACATCCAATAGATGATGCTTATTGGGGTTGCTTAGATTATGTTTTGAATGATTCTTCTGCTGCGTGTTTAACCTACAGTGAGTTTCAAGTTGAAGCTGCTTCAAAACACAATTTACATATTACAAAGACTTATGATCTCAAATTTTATTTGACGTTTTGGGTAAGGAAGAACTGGGCACTCAAGGACAGAATTGATCAGATTGCATTGAGGATGACAGAAGCTGGTCTTTTAGATCATTGGGATAAAGAAGTGTTGTATTGGCCTTTGAAAAAAATAAATGATTATGAATCCATTTTTACATCAACTGAATACGAACAATTTGAACTAGAAAACATGCTCCTCGCTTACATACTATTATTGTTGACTACAACTCTTGCTCTTATTGTATTCGGTTTTGAAATACTTTTAAATAAAATTCGACCACGCAGAAGACTGCGATTACAGCAAAGAATCGTGATATTTAATCGTAGAGTCCACGTAATCAATGAGTGGGTATAACATTAGTGACTCAATAATTATATCTCTTGTGTGGTTTTTGCCTGACAATTCATTGGTCTTTTGAGCTTTTTGTGAAATTTATCGATCACATTTTCAACAGTAATGCTAAGACCGACAATACTTCCTGAGATTATCGAAGTTGAAGAGAAATAAGAATAATTATCAAAACGTTGGATATTTTTATCAAATAAGAAATTGTTTTATAAAATACCAATATTGTTGACACTTGTGACGTGATTTTTTGAATAAATGTAATAATAATCGATCATTTAATCCTTCTTTGGAACTATCTAGAGATTTGTGAACAAATTTTTTAAATCTGAATTAATAAAGGTTTATAATGGTGCCCAGAAAAAAAAATTAGTTTGATTCAAAAGAAAAATTATTGAACCAAGAAAATAATTTTAGATACCTCCATCTTCCTGATTTAAGTAAAAAACTCTTTATCTGAGAAATTTTTTTTTATTCAAGTGAATTTTACTTGAGTCAGAAATTTTTCAACTTGAATTAAGACAAAGAAACTTTTTAAATCATTTTTTTTGGTTCAAGAATTTTTCTTCTGAATTAAGTTAATTTCTATTTCCGTGGGAAATTTCTTGTATTGAGTATTTCATATAATTGTTAATCAATTTATATAAATACGATTATATTATGCTATAATATTTTGCAATCTCATCATAAAAACTTTTCAGTTAGAGAGAAGAGGCGTTTTCAGGTGTTGCAGTTTCTTATATGAATTTATAAATTCCTTCCAAATAAATAAAAATCTCCGAATAACTATCTGATAATCTATGGATTATTTGTAAATCTACCTCTTAGAAAAGCGCTTTTTTGAAAGTTTCCATTTAATTTCAAGAAATTTAACTTTCAAGTTACCATTTACTACACAATTGCAAAAAAGATAGTATACAGTTTCTCTTAATAAATGCGAGTATAGAAAAACATGAGAATGGTTGTTAAGTACTTCAACTATTCTAACCCACTGTAATTCTTGTACAAAGTCTTAATTTTGAATAAAGCAATTGCCTTTATCTTGAACTCATTCAACTTTCATAATTTTTTTTAACACACATTTTCCTTGATAAAACCCTTTCAATTAATGAGTAAAAAAAAAAAATCTTCGCTACGCTGTGGATGAAAAGTTCGTTTATATTTTATCTAACTAAGCATCGAGAAAAAAAAATTACAGATATTAAAATGAAGAAAAATTTTACTTTTGTTTCATTATGTCTATTAGCTATATAGACAGGATAAAAATAAAACATTCGATGAAAAATAAACTCACTCACGCAACAGTGTTGGATTTTAGTTATTGAGTAAATATTTTTTAATGGAATAATTTTCAAATGATGCTTTTCTTTTTAGAAGCACAACAAACTTTCAAAAAATGCCATTTTGTAAAATCAGGAGAAAAAAATTTTTTTATATGAGATCTTTTATTGATAATACTGACACAATTAATTATTTTTCCATTACACATCAAATTTTATCATTTTAACATTAGGAAGACATGGACGTGAATAAATTATTTAAACAAATAAAAATACAGCGGTAATTTGTACTAAATGAATTTTACGGTATCTAAATAATTATTATATTGTTCATACAGTCTTAATTATAGAATCCAAGTAGAAAACATGAAATGATTTTTGGTGCATAAAATTTTTTACTCGGAAGGCTAGAAAAGAGCCGAGCTTGATAATTAATTTACTGCCTTTTCAGATATATTGTAGCTTACAAAAATTGACTACTTATAGTTAAAAAAAATAAAATGAAATAACAATTAAAATTATTCCTTAAACTTAAAAACTTAAGTTAATACATACATTATATATAGTATACATAAATTTATAGCCATTTTGTCTTAGTTCGGTAAATAGTATTCCCGAGGAATGTAATCAGTTTTAGGGCTCCCAGGTTCGATACCCAGTAGTTCATCCATAAATGCAATATAAGTGATTGCAAGGCGTAAAGTTTCTATTCGTGAAAGTCTTTTTTCGTATGCGAATGTCGGTACCTGAAAAATTAATTTAGCAATTTACTTTTAAATAATAATAATTGAAGATGGAAAAAAAAATTAAACAATAATTATATAGTTTAGTTTTAAAAAATACTATTTCAAATGAAAAATTACAATCTAGATTGTAATCTTGATCGAAAAAACTATAGAAGAATTTTTGGAGGATAAATTTGGAGTAAGGATTGACTAAAAACGCGTTCAATTCCAGGGAAAAGACAAAGAAATAGTGATTTTATAGTTAAATAAATGAGAAATCGACCCGCGTTGAAAAAATTAACTTTAATGAACTCAACTGCTATGCTAAAACAATTGATTTAATTGAACTTATTTAAATTAATTTTTTCGACTCGGGGAAGAAAAATCTATAAAGAATAAGAAAATTTTCGCAAATACGGATGTACTCATTAATGATGACTCAAAAAGAACAAAAAAAAAATTTTTCTTTTTAATTTTTAGTAAATAGTGATGATTTCACTCATAAAAGAGTCAAATATTACTCTAATAAATAAAAGTAATAGTAAAGACATATCAACAAATAGTTTACAAATTTTTATTTGTGACTTCAACATACATACTTATATATTTTTTATGCACATACATATTTTTATATTCTACTAGGAAACAATAGCAGAGAATTTAAGGCACTAAAATACACAATATTTTTCAACACTTGATCTTGAAGCTTTGCATATTCCTGAACAGCATTTTCGATCATCGGTACACTGAAATATAAACCATAGTAATTAATAATAATCGTATTTTCATATTAATTGACAGTTTTTTGTTGTTTTAAATCAAAAGATTGTATACAAAAATACATTTTTCAAAAGCAATATTTTTATTGAACCAATCAAGACTCAATTTGGAAAATCAACATCATAAGTTATTGGAAAGTTGTCATATATTAGTATGTATTATTAATTTCGAATACATTTTGTAGAAAATATAAAATACCTTGATATTACACCTTCGGTGTCTAAAACTTACTACGTCTGTCCAATATATATATTTAATAACTAACAAAAATAAGACTTACAATAGACTGAAGTGATATGCAGTCTTGGTGATAGTGATATGAGTGGTTTGCTTCTATGATTAAAATCATACCGAAAATGACGATTAGAAATAAAAGCTTATACAACATACTTTTTCTGCAATTAAATAAAAATATTAAACATTTTTGATCTTGATACAGAACATAACTAATTATTATTTTTTGAAAAGACATAAATGGAATTCAAATGAGAAATTATTAACAATTGAAAAACTTACTCAGACATTTTGGGGTACATCTAATTGTTTCTTCTGTAGATAATGATGAAATGACATATAAGTGTTTTTAGCTTATATACGAAATGGGATAAGTTGCTTGTCTCTTTGAAAAATGTTCCTTGACCTTAGTCAGAAGAGTAAGTTTTTCCATTGGCTGGGATAAGAATAGATATGGTTTGTCAAAAGTCATTAAGCGTATTTTTTGATCGTTAAAACTAAATTAAACTTATCTTTCATTCTATTTGAGGAACTTATCAAATTGTCGAAGTTATTTTCCACTAAAAATTTACGTTTACAATTCTTTTAAATATATCTGAAGGAAACATTACAAGGAAATACTTTTTCTTATAGAATTTTATAGAATTATCATGAAGATCCAATGAAATTGTAAGTATAAAACTTCATATAATTATATAGAAGTTCAAAAAATTTTATAATATAAAGTTTCATGAAAAGATATGAAATTTCATACCAACAATTTCTTTGAGTATATTGCGTAAAAGTATAAAAGATGATTTGGTGCATTTGAATAATTCAAGTCCTAGTAATCATCGTTATTTTAATTGGAATCTATACCTAAGTCAACCTCACGGACCATCATCGAACAAATATAAAGGAAATTGTAAGTAAATAAAATTAATTCAAACTGGCAGTTTGAAAGTTTTCCTTGCCACATCGAAATTAATGTTAAATCAGTAAACTAATAATAAGAACAATCTATATTTGCTCTCAAGAAGCGGTTTTTTTAAGAGCTGATCCACAACTTTATGTAGGCTAGCGTGACTAGAACGCCGTTTAGTAGGGTCCGATCGGTTTAGTCGTTCAAAAGTTATAAGCGATTTACATACTCACACACACACACACACACACACACACACACACACACACACACACACACACACACACACACACACACACACACACACACACACACACGACGTCGCGGCCACGATAATAGTATGGGAGGAACAACACTAACGTCAACAAGGGCCCTGTGCTATCTGGGGGTAATGATAGATGAGAAACTATCTTTTCGCGAACACCTCGATAATGCATGCCAGAAAGCCAACAAGACGGTGTCAAGCCTAGCAAAAATTATGACCAACACCATGGGACCAAGAACAAAAAAGAGAAGAGTTCTTCTAGAAGCAGTCCATTCGGTACTGCTTTATGGAGCGGAGATATGGGCAGACATATTAAAGCAGAAAATCTATCGGCGAAAGATAGCAGCAGTACAGCGGCGAGGTGCTCTCAGGGTTACCTGCGCCTACCGCACAGTTTCCGAAGCGGCTGTATTGGTCATTGCAGGAGCTACGCCCATCGACCTATTAGCATTTGAGAGAGCTAAACTTTATGACGCTAAAGATAGTGACGAAAACATAAAAGACGCAAGAACGAGGATAAAGGCGGAAACGCAACAAGAGTGGCAGGAACGATGAACATCGGGAGAGACGGGCAGATGGACAGCGCGCCTGATCCCAAACATCAACGTCTGGCTTCCTCGAAAGCACGGAGACACGGACTTCTTTCTGACCCAGCTATTGACGGGACATGGGCAGTTCAATGCCTATCTTTTCAAGATGGGTTTGCACAGCAGACCAACGTGCAAATACTGTCCAGACAAAATTGACAACGCCGAGCACACGTTTTTCGAGTGTGATCGGTGGAAGGACGACAGAATCAGCACCGAAGAAACAATAGGCACCACGCTCTCCCCTGAGAGCTTGGTAACTTGCATGATCAAAAAAGAAGAAAACTGGTCAGCTGTTGCAGCCTACGCGCAGCGCCTTTTAAAAGAAAAAATCGCAGAAAGGGATTAAAAACCAGTAGAAACAAGAAGTAAGTATAAGACACAACATGGACTGGATTGAAGTAATGCTAACGCGGTCCCGTTCCAGTCTTCCCTGTAACATTTATGGGGAAAGGAGAGAGGAGGATGTTTAGTCGGTATTGTTGCAAAATAATATTGACTTCTGAGTCCGACATACCCAGGCACCAACACCTAGTCCTGGCATACGTAAATGTATTTTACCTCCTCTATAAAAGAACACACACACACACACACACACACACACACACACACACACACACACACACACACACACACACACAATACATACATACATACATACATACATACAGACAGACAGACAGACATAGTGACACCATCGCAGGGGTAGTCAAGGAAGCTTCCTATGATCTTCAAACATCGAGATCTAATGAAAACTCGATTTTTACAAAACGGGGTGAAAACAATAACTTCCCGATTATTGAAAATCTTCGATTTTCTTAGCGGGAAGTTAAAAAATCCTAAAATGACACTCACTGAGAGGAAAATGAATAGTATATTCAACTGGCCCAAAACTGATATTGTAGATGCCACCAAGAATCTGCAAATTACTGTACAGAAGTCCAAAGGCAAAAGCCCTGATGGATTGGATCTTATGTGACTCAAAGATCATCAACCGCAGATTTCGATCTTTCTCATGAACGTCTACAATAGCTCTCTTGATACAGGTATTTTTCCTGACGTCTGGAAGTTGGTTTATATTGTTCCTTTCAATTAAAACAAGTGCACCGAAGTTCATGTCAGATACTAGACCCATAGTCAATATATCCTAACTTACCAAAGTATTTGAGCGTATATTAGCAAAGCAGCTTACAAATTATCTTGAAACGAATCACATCATCGATGAACATCAATCAAACATTCGCCAAGTCAGGGATAGAGATGAACTTACCTATCTCATTCTAATTGAATTCTCAAAGGCTTTTGATTACGTTAAACCAAAAGTGTTATTCATAATAATGTATCAAATAGGTTTCTCGATTGAAGCTATTCTTTGATTTCTATCCTGTTTCATCACCGGCAGATTGCAATCTGTACTCGACCAACATTATTCTACATCTGATGCCATCAGTACTACTTCTGGTGTTCCTCAAGGATATATTTTGGGTCCCATTGTTTTCCTAATCATCGTAAATGGAGTAGCTTAACGGTTGAAATTTTCTAAGTACGGTCCCTTTGCTGATGATAAATCTGTATATTACCACTTTAGACTCTTCCAACTAAATGACGCAGCTCATAAAATAAATACTGATGCCCAAGCAGTGGCTGACATTACTGGGTCAAAGAAGTTGGTCTCGAGCTAAATCTTGGAAAAATAAAGGTCATGATTTTGAGGAACAATAGGAAATTGAAGCTTCTTGAAGATTGTGATCTTCCTCAAATAATTGTAGATGGCAACGTCATTCCATATGTAAGCTCAACCAAACACCTTAGTGTTCATTTATCAACTAATCTTTCCTGGGATCTCCACGTTGCACATATCTCTCGCAAGGTCTACAGTACTCTCAATAGCCTCAAGCATAGAAAGAATATACTATCTACTTCAACTCGCAAACTACTAGTCACAGCTATGGTTATTCCTATCATTGACTACTGCTCATTGGTTTTGATAGATATATCCAAAAGACTGGATTGTAAGTTACAACGTCTGATAAACAATGGCATAAGGTTCATTTTTAATCTGAAGCGTGATGAACATATTACTCCCTATAGATGCTCCTTACAGTGGCTTACAGATAAATCGAAGCGATCTTACTTCTTGGCTTGCTTCTTGTATAAACTTTTCAGTTCTGGTGAACCTAGTTTTCTCAGAAGCTTTTTTGTTAAAGAATATCACTAGATACTAGACGTTCCGAAAGATTGGCTGCCAAATATAACAACGTCACGTTTAGAATTCCTAACTATTCAACTACTTCCTACGAAAATTCATTTTTAAAAGCTCTATTCATTATTAATTTGACCAATACGCTTTTGGCGGGAAATACCACCTGATTTTATCAATGCACTTAGCGTTGACCTTTTTAAGATTAAATCTTATGAATTCTTCCACAACCTTGAGCTTAACTTAAGAACTTGGTACCTGATATTAATGATGATGATATTAATTGATATAATTAGAACCATTTGCAGTGCTTTAAATTTAAACCTAAGTCTGACAATTATCTTGCAAATTCTTATTCACTTTTATTAAATGTAATCAGCTAATTATATTGTTGAAGCTTTTGATTGTTTTCACTGATGAGCCATAATTTTAATATTGTTAAAATATTTGTTTATATTCTTACATGTACTTTTGTTCTTTTTGTTTCGTGTTATTTGCCATTCGGCCATTACCTTGGCATTTAAATTAAATAAATAAAAATAAATTCAAAAATTCGAGCTTTAATTTTAAATTTAAATATCTCACGCTATTATCATCTCAGGTAATACAGACAGGGCATCGATAATATTAATTTTTAAAATAAAATTGATAAAAGTCGAGATATTGAAGAATAAGTTCGGGATTACGATACTCATCTCGTAATTTTAAATGTGATTTTTTTTCTGCTGATAATTAATACAGAAAATAAATCCAATAAAAAGCAAAAATTTGATTACCTGTGGAAGACAAATTCAAGTCACTGTGATGTGAAACTTGGATATATTCTTGTTCAAGAGGTCGCTTTTAAAACAAAATTGCGGAAGGGAAGACATACACGATTAATAGTATGAATATAGTATAGCAATATGAAATTTAGAGAAATGAATATGTTCAAATCTAAAATGAATATTCATGAATAAATCTCGTTGATGTTCTGATGAAAGAAATTATTGATGTAGTTGCAGAAACTCCCCCCCCCCTCCCCTGAGGTATATCGAAACAGCTGATTACAATAAACATGACGTCATTAGATACTAAGCTATGGAGCTTGTTCACTTTAAATAAATGCATATTATCTATTATAATCAATTCTAGAAATGTAATCCAAAACATAAGAATATTTTGTTGTATTCAATTAATACCTATTATATGATAATTCATAACTTCAATGATTTTCTTAGTATGATAAATTTGGTGGCCCTGAAAAGGGCCGTTTTGTTAAAAATTTGATGATAGAGTGGGATGTTTAACCTCCGAAACCGTAGAGAGTACGGCCCTGACGTTTCAATGCGTAGACTACATCCATGGCTGTGACAGTCTTACGTTTAGCGTGCTCTGTGTAGGTGACAGCGTCACGAATAACGTTTTCAAGGAAAACCTTGAGCACACCACGAGTCTCTTCGTAGATCAATCCAGAGATACGCTTGACTCCACCACGACGGGCCAGACGACGAATAGCTGGCTTAGTGATACCTTGGATGTTATCACGCAGAACTTTACGATGACGCTTGGCTCCTCCTTTTCCCAATCCTTTTCCTCCCTTACCACGACCAGTCATATTGATATAAGTTAAATAAGACTTCTGATCAACTCAAGAAGTAAACTTGGTATATTCGAAAAACGGTAAGTCAAGGCTCTTTTAAGCAGATCTCCAACGTTTCCCCCACCACCGAGTTCGAGTGCAGCCAATCAACACAATCCAGAAACTTTTTCCCCCTACCGAAAAAAACACCTGGAACACCTGGCCCAAGTTAACAAAAAGGCGAGCTCTTCGAGCGAACATCATATTTTCAGTCTAACTTTAGATCGTTAAAGTCAGATTACTGTCGTTAAGTCGTCATGGCCCGAACTAAGCAAACCGCTCGTAAGTCTACTGGAGGTAAAGCTCCACGTAAGCAACTTGCCACCAAGGCTGCTCGTAAGAGTGCACCAGCTACTGGAGGTGTCAAAAAGCCTCACCGTTACCGTCCAGGAACCGTTGCTCTTCGTGAGATCCGTCGTTACCAGAAGAGTACGGAGTTGTTGATCCGTAAATTGCCCTTCCAACGTCTTGTTCGTGAAATTGCCCAGGACTTCAAAACTGATCTGCGATTCCAGAGCTCCGCTGTGATGGCCCTTCAGGAAGCCAGCGAGGCCTACCTCGTCGGTCTTTTTGAAGACACCAACCTCTGTGCCATTCACGCCAAGCGTGTCACCATCATGCCCAAAGACATCCAGTTGGCTCGTCGTATCCGAGGAGAACGTGCCTAGGTGATCATTTTTAATCCAACATCTAAAAAAACGGCCCTTTTCAGGGCCACCAAATTTTTCATACTAAGAAAATCATTCAATTTTACTAATTGATTATCTTAAGAATTGTTCAATTACCTAAAACATCTAAGATCAATGAAAAATAAGAAAATAGAATATCGATATCCCATTATAGCATGACTAATATTATTTCATTAGTTAAAGATACCTTAGTATCTCGTAAATTATTCTTCACCATGAATAATTATAAAGTTTATTGTTATAATGATATTTTAATTGTTTGAACTAAAGATTATTTCTGATAAACGAACAAAATAACATGACATGAATTTTCAGAAGGAATATGCAGATGTTTTAGAATACAATGAGTTTGTCATTACTATAATACATTAAAAAGAAATTTTTTCAATGACGAGAATAAATATATTGTTTTCATATAAAACTATTTGAGAGTTTCATAATTCCAACATTATCATTAACTAACCTTCAAGATATAAATTTATAGTAAAATCAATCTCTCTCTTTGACTGTGTTATATCTCGATCAAAATCCGTTTATCATAGCTAAGGAATGTATGACACTAGACGTTCCCTTGCTATACTTTAAAATGGAAAATGGTGAGAAGCCTAAGATAAAGATACCATAGTCCACGACCTCAATGAAATTTTAGCAAATACCAAAGATCATAATTATTTGTTGTAAATTAATGATATTATACTCGCTCAATAAAAATGAAATAGTGCTGGTAACTATATTAATCAATTTTCAAGATAGATGACGATAATTTGATTAAGCAAATAATTAGGCTGAATAAAAAGAATTTAATTAAACTAGAAAACTCTTCACGTATTGAAAAATTTGGTGGCCCTGAAAAGGGCCGTTTTATTTTATATGGGAAAGCAGATATAATTTAAGAGCTGCTTTTCTCGGTCTTTTTGGGTAAAAGAACAGCCTGGATGTTAGGCAAGACACCTCCTTGAGCGATGGTGACTCCAGAGAGAAGTTTGTTTAACTCTTCGTCGTTACGGATGGCCAACTGAAGATGACGGGGAATAATTCTGGTCTTCTTGTTGTCACGAGCAGCGTTTCCAGCTAACTCCAAAACTTCAGCCGCCAAGTATTCCATGACGGCAGCAAGGTAAACTGGAGCACCAGCACCAACACGTTCAGCGTAATTTCCTTTACGCAACATACGATGAATACGACCCACTGGAAATTGGAGACCAGCACGGCTTGAGCGGGTCTTTGACTTTCCCTTTACTTTACCTCCTTTACCACGACCAGACATGATGAAAAGATTAGAGAATTATAAACTGAACTATTTACTTGAACGGATAAGTCCTGACTATGCGGTTGGCACTCCAGACCTTAAGTTTTATAAGGCTTGTGTGAGGAGCATGCGGCAGATGTTCTGGCAGCTGAACGTTGGAGGGGGTCGAGCATACCTTGGGTTAGTCAGTTAGTGTTGAAGAGGGTTACTATTGTAATTATGTTCCATTGACAAGCCGGTTTACTTGGTATTCATCCCCACTCTTTGTGACTATCCTTCACCGATGCTCAAACTTCCTATTTTTCTCTTTTAAAACCGAAAGCAAAGTTGGGCTGACCATCATTCGTCTACTGTCCTTCCGTACGTACTTACATACTCAACTCAGTAGTAGCCATCATGCCGCCCAAGACCAGTGGAAAAGCCGTCAAAAAATCTGGCAAAGCCCAAAAGAATATCACGAAGTCTGACAAGAAGGGTCGCAAGAAGAAGAGGAAGGAAAGTTACGCTATCTACATTTACAAGGTGCTAAAACAGGTCCACCCTGACACCGGTGTTTCCTCCAAGGCCATGAGCATCATGAACAGCTTTGTCAACGATATCTTCGAACGTATTGCTGCTGAAGCTTCCAGACTCGCTCACTACAACAAGCGTTCCACCATCACTTCACGGGAAATTCAAACAGCTGTCCGTCTTCTGTTACCCGGTGAATTGGCCAAACACGCCGTCAGTGAAGGAACCAAAGCCGTCACTAAGTACACCAGCTCTAAGTAAACTTCCTCTCTCTGACTAAAATCAAAACAAACGGCCCTTTTCAGGGCCACCAAAT